ACACACACACACACATATATATTAATACATTCCCCTTACAATCGAATAATCCGTTTATTTGAATACAATTAGCTGGAACCAAAGGTATTTAAGTGGGATTGACTGCATCGAGGTAAATTGCCTTATAATCTTGTACCTATATTTGTAAGATTTAACTACATTCATTACACTGATTTATTTGATTTTTCTTAACTGTAATCGAGTATAGGAATTAGATAAGGACGTGAGAATCACGTATGTTACTTTTAAACAGGATCTGAGCACACTTAATATTTTTACGATAGCAGGTTTAATAATTCATTGCATTTTCTATTTCTTTTTTGTGATCCGCTGTTACAAAAAGATTGTGAATCTCTAGTTAAATAAGTGATGTTTTTAATTAATTTTTTTGAAACTCCAGACCAGCAGAATATCCTTATATACTGTTAAAATTAAATAATCATTACAATAATGATTCAACTTTCATGATGTGTTTATATTTTCAGTAGACAGATAGAAAGAATGGGAGCCCTTCTGGCGATATTTCAAAATTTGTCAACCTGCAACCTCCTCACTTCTAAGCGCCATTTTAATTCTACTAGCCTCTAACGATATTTCGACACTTTTGGGTCAGTTTATTAAACGGTATATGAACAAGGACTAAACCGCTGAAAAAGACAAATTAAATTTATTTCAATGGCAAAATACCACGTACCCTTTCAATTTAGGTATTTTGATTTGCATGTGCCCTAAGACGGGCTCGTTTACTGAATTTTTAAATAATTTCATAATAATTAATTTACAGAAAATTTTCGTAACAAAAAAATTTTCTTGGGTGAAAGATTTTCATCAATTCAAGGAAAATTTTCATTAACTTTTTTACTACTTTTAAACAAAGTTTTGCACAGTTATTAAATATTAAAAAAATAATAATATTTATTAATTAATTGTGGTAAAAAGGTTTTAATTTTCTTGTTTGGGCAACAAACGCCTAATACCGAGACCACAAAATTTGGTCTTTAATCGACGTAGATCTCGGACGGACTCAGACTCTAAGTAATCCTATGCATCTTGGGCTCGGATTAAAATTTTTCAGGCTAGAATCTCCAAAAGCAAGTCCGAACTCATATTTAATGTGCACTCCTTAGTACTAGTAGTACTTAAACTAACTTTAATGTAGTATACATGAAGTGTTTCGAAAGTTTAGGCTTCCATTTAATAAAATAAAAATGAATTAATAAAGTTATTATAAATCATTAACATGAAAATCACATAGTACTAACAATTGTAATGATTATATAAGTTTTAAGAAGACTCAGAATATACCAATAAAAATTTAATCCTTAATACAAACATGAGAAGATATTTTTGAAAAATATTTTTTTAAAAATCAATTGGTTATTTTAAAAAAAAAGTTTAAATTAGAAGAAAAAAAATTAGCTAAATATTTTGTAAAAATTATTCTTCACATCTTATTTCTATTAACAAATAATCGGAACGGATAACACCTTTCCTAGAGCTTAGTAAATATGAAAATAATAATATATTATAGTGCTGGTACCGGCAGAGTTAAAAACCTAATTAATTTAGGAAATAAGGGAAAGAAACAAACATATACAGATGAACGCAACCTCAAATAGATAAACATTAATAATTTAATTATGTTATTGTGTCGATTCGATAACCTAAAATAGAAAATGCAACCCACTAAAATGGAAAATAGTGGTACCTGTATCGTAAGTGTATATACTTTATTAGAGTGTATGAAATTCATTTATAACTAGGCTATGCTACTTATTTCAAAATGACAAATATGAATTATGTAATAGTACACTGTAAAAAATCCGGATCAAGTTCCGGTAAAAAGTACCGGCACTCGGGGTGCCAGAACTTTTTAGTGTACTCCATTTACAGCAGTGATCAGCAAATTTATGAAGCTTCTGAACTACTGCACTGTTTTTTACCGTATCGCCAACCAAAGTACTACTTTTATTTTTTTGTAAATGCACTGAACAAAATTTAAATATTTTATAGCATTTGCACGAAGAATTAAATTAATAAATAATAATAAGGTAAAATAAGTCAAGATCTACGTATTTACTTACGCACTGGCAAGAATTCCGGATCAAGTGACGGTAAAAAGTACCGGCACCCAGGGTGGGTGCCAGTATTTTTACCAAAAAAAATCGATTTTAACCAGAACATGTTACGGAACAAAAAATCTGATTTTGCGTAATATTAAAATTAAAATCACTCTAAATAAAAATTACTGTAAAAATTACGGTAAAATGGATTTTACGGATGATGCACCCAAAGTGTTTTATACCATAATTTGATATGGAATTTTTATAGTATAATAGCGGGTAACACGCAGTTTATTTTAAAACTTGCTTTAAAAATATTACACAGAAAAGATGTACTTTTAAGAAAACAGCATAGAAATTTTGAAGGGTAGAAGATACGTGGTTTAGGTTCCACACATTTTTTGAGGGATCAAAAACACCATATCCTGACAAAAAAATACCGTTCTCGATCATCTTCAACAAACTAAAGTTTGGTGACAGGTTTTGTGATCTATAGCAGATATCAAAAAAACTTTTTGATAACTTACAACAAAAACTGAAAAAATAATCGATATTTTTCAGTATGTTCATTTCATCTTGTTACGGCCTACAATTCCTGCGTGATACGGTGAAATTGAATCAATCTCCGAGAAAATAAAAATAAATTTTCAGAAAAAGAGAGAGAGAGAAACATAAATTAGCTTTTATTTTTTTTTTAGAACTGAAAAGGAAAGCGCAGATTATTGCTATCATCATTTTGAGATGAAATTTATTCAGAAAAAAGGATTCTGTAATAAATAAAGATTTACACGCAGATTTTTAAATCAGAGTAAAAACGTGAGAGAATTAAAAACCTATATCCCAACAAAAAAAATTTCAAATGTTCACGAAGATTTTTCTCTAAAACGTCATGGCAATTTTTTTAATAGTTTAGAAAATGGAGACGAAATTAAGAAATTAAACAGTGATAGTGAGATGCATTACAGTATATAAATTAACAAAAAAAAATTAAAACTTTCGAACATAATAAAAATATTTAAAATCCTATTTATCTAATTATTAGTCATACTTTCAATTTTTAAAATTAACAAATTTAGGTTATAAAAATAAAATAAAACTAATCACGCGACGCAGAGATATTGGAAGTTCTTCACTACATTTAAACATTATGAAGAATTGAGAATATATATAAATAATCAGAGTCAAAATGTTAATCAACAATCCAGCTTTAATTCTTAAATTCCAACTTAAAGCTATCTTAATAACGTGGAGATTTAGTACCACACACACACACACATATATATATATATATATATATATCAGGGGTCTGTTTAGAAGAAATTTGGGTCCGTTAACGGACCCTTCACAAAATATCTTTTCATAAAAACGGATCCTTCACAAAATATTTTAACTTAAAAACGGATCCTTCACAAAATGATTTTTCTTTTAATCGGACCCTTCACAAATTTGTTTATCTTCATTATTATTTTGTTAATCGAATAAACCCTTTCCAGGGCAGAAAACAAGAAAGATGGATGTAAACGAATTAAGTTTTGTCTTCGGCAGACGATCCTTCCATTATTCGTCCGAAATTAATATTCTGCGTTCAGCAGTATAGGCTTAATACCAAATATTTGTATGTTGCATCTCTAATTTAGAAGCAGCAATTGTTGTTTATTTTTTAAAATTTAAGTTTTTTAATTATAATTTTACAGTGTTGAGCATAATCTTGTACGTCTTTACAATTTAAAAGCTCCTTGAAAAAATTTTTTTTGCAATAACGGACCCTATTTGCACAAATTCATAAAAGCGGACCCTGCTTGAAAGAATGTAATTTTTTCACAATTTCACGGAAAACGGATCTTTCACAAAATGTCTGGACAGACCCCTGTATATATATGCTATTTAATTTTTATTTTATAGCCGGCGTTGAACAGTCGACCCAATTCTGAATTAAAGACTATCAATGTTCCAACTCATTAGACTCGAAATTTTGAACCTAACCCAGAAGACAAGAAAATTCCTGCTTAATGGGACAAACTAGCGTTCATGGAGGACTTCTTGATGGGACTATCCCGTATTACGTCACATGGAGAGAAAAATCACGAAA